GAGCCCAGTCCATATAGAGGAATTCTCCCTGAGCCAAGACACACGGGGAGGGGGGGGCTAGGCCCTACCCCAAAGGAAACAAAAGACTCTGATGACACCCTATGGAAGGCCTCACCATCTAGGGGGAGCAGAAAAGATATGTGATAGATAGGGTTTTAGTTGGGGGGGTAGGGGAGGACGGGTGGCAGAAGAGAAATGGGATTGTCATGTAAAACAATACTGTTTCTAATTCAAATAAAAAAAAGTTGGGGGGAAAAAAAGGAACTTAAGGACAGGGGCTAACAAAGATGGTTTAGTGGGTGAAGGAACTTACTGCCAAGCCTAATGACCTGAGTTTGTTCTACGGACCACATAATGGAATGAGAGAGCTGATCCTGGCAAGGAGTCCTCTGACCTCAATACCCATGTGTACACATGCATGTGTACACATACAGGCATTCATACACGCATGCATTCACACATACACACACATACACACACACACACACACACACACACACACACATAATACACACACAAATATACATATAAGTGAACATACAGATAACTTTCGGACCTTTTCAGCCTACGAAGCCTCACAGAAGTGTCTGGAATGTTCCCTTGCCTGGTTCCATTACTATTATCATTGTCATTATTATTATTATTATTATTATTATTATTATTATTATTTATTATTGGTGGGAGGAGAGGAAAGGCAGTTCCAAAGCAGAAATACCTTTTCTTTCCAGGTCATTTGTGGGAATTAGACTAGAGTCTGGGCAGGATTCATTTTTAAGATAGGTTCTGAGACAACAGTCACTGTGTCTGGCACAGCAGGTACCTCAGAACACTCCGAGAAGCTTATTCCTCAGACCACATGTCTTAATAAAGCTTCAGGGAACAGGGTCACCTTAAATGAATGGCCAAGCCTCTTGATTTCCTATAGAGGGCCAGAGGGAATGAGGCTGCAAGTATGCCCTCTCAGGGCTTCCCACACTGTATCTGGCTGGTCATTGTAAGCGATGGAGAGAGACCAAAGGTAACACAACAGGTGACAGCTGCCCCTACCTACCTGCGGCAATAGGTATTCCAACCATGTTATAAATCAATGCCAGCACCAGATTGACGCGGATCCTCCTGACAGTCCTCTTGGAGAGATGAATGCTGGCCACCACATCCAGTAAGTCATTCTACAGGAGAGGAGCATACTTGAATAAGGGACTCCTGCCAACCCCAGCCCCTCCTGTGACCTGGGCACAGCCGAGCTCACTCTGATAAGAACTACGTCTGCTGCTTCAATGGCAACATCTGTGCCAGTCCCAATAGCAATTCCCACATCAGCCTGGGCCAAGGCTGGGGAGTCGTTCACTCCATCGCCCACCATGGCTACTTTCTTTCCTTCGTTCTGGAGTTCCTGGACCTTGGCTACCTTGTGAGAAGGCAGTACCTCAGCAAAGACTTTGTTGATGCCGACCTGAAAGGAAGGAAGGAAATCAATGCCTTAATGTATGTGAGAGTTAACAGAAGCAGAGACCCAAGGCAGCAATTAAGTTTTCACGGCTTTTCGTATGTCTGGCTGGTTTAGGCAGGGGTGGAAGTAAAATGTTCAGGCATTCACACCAGAGCCATGGTTTACTGGGATAGGCAGCCATTCATCGATTCTGTCCTCATGCCCAAGCTCAGAACTAAATAGGTCAGGATGAAGTGATTCACCTTAGTCCATCAGGAAGTTGAACCAAAAAAGCAATACGATGCTCAAATATTGTTGTTGTTTGTTTATTTTGGCTTGGTTTTGAGACAAGGTCTCAATGTAGCTGTGGCTGCCTGAAATTTGCTCTATAGACCAAGCTAAACTCAAACTCACAGAGGTTCACCTGCCTCTGCCTCAGAGTGCTGGAATTAAAAGTGTGCTTTTACACCGGATGCTTAGATCCCTTTTTTTCCAGTTTTTCGAGACAGGGTTTCTCTGTGTAGCTTTGGAAGCCTGTCCTGAAACTCGATCTGTAGATCAGGCTGGCCTCAAACTCCATGAATCTGGCCTCTGCCTCCCAAGTGCTAGAATTAAAGGCGTGTACCACCACCACCCAGCTATATATATATATATATGTATATATATATACATATATATATATATATATTGCATCAGTGGGCTTGTTTGTAATTTTCAAGGACAGAGAATATCTGGCCATTGTCATACCTGAGTGGCAATGGCTCTGGCTGTCTTTCGGTTGTCTCCTGTGATCAGAGCCACATCCACACCCATGCTTTTCAATGTGTATATAGCCAGGGCAGCCTCTGGTTTAACAGCATCTGCGATGGCGATCATCCCACAGAGCACACCTGAAATGAAACATCTGCAATCAGCAACAGCACACCAGGCATCCCCGTACATGAGTGCTAAGACATCTAGAGCCATGAAGAACCACGCCCATCCTTGAATGCTAAGACACCTATGGTCATGAGAAACTGTGCCCATCATGAGTGCTAAGACATCCATGGTCATGAGGGAAGGAAAGATGATGTAATTATATTATAATCTCAAAAATAAAAGAAGTAATGGCCTCAAGAGAAGAGACCAAGTGAAAAGACAGCAAGACAACCTGGAAAAACACATCAAACTAACAGAAAGGGAAACTCAGTTTTTTTGTTGTTGTTTTTTTTTTTTTCAAAATAAGAAGACACAAGAAAAAGAAGAGAAGAGAAGAAGGGCAAGAAGGAAAGGAATGGGAGAGAATAGATGGGAGGGAGAGGGAGCGGGAGGGGAAGGAGCAGAGTAGGCCTCTTACAAAGCAAGGAAGGGTGATCTGTTTTTTTAATTTTAAATATTTTTATTTTAGAAGCACTCTTATTTACATATCAATCCCCCCATTCCCTCAACCTCCCATCCTCCCATGCTCCCCACCATCCCCCCAACCCACTCCCCACCCACTCCCCATGGGTAGTGAGGCCCTCCATGGGGGACCATCAAAGTCCGGCACATCATTTGGGGAAGGGGCCAGGCCCTCCTTCCCATATCTGGGCTACAATAATATACCTCCATAGGGAATGGGCTCCCAAAGTCCATTTGTGCTCTAGGGATAAACACTAGCTCCACTGTTAGAGGTCCCAGAGACCGCCCTGACATCCTAGCTGGCACCCACATTCAGAGGGCTTGGTTCAGTCCAATGCTGGTTCCCCAGCTTTAGGACTAGGGTCTCCATGCTCTCACTAGGTCTGGTCAACTGTTTCTGCGGGTTTCTCCAGCACCGTCTTGGCTACTTTGCTCATCCCTCCTCCTTCTCCACAACTGGATTCCAGGAGTATGGCTCAGTGTTTAGCTGTGGGTGCCTGTTTCTGTGTTCTATGTGTTCTAATCTCAGGCAGAGATTACCATCAATGGCCACCAGGATGGCTGTCTGTCCTTTCATTTCATGATCTGTCATGGTATCACTGATCTCACTGGAGATGGTTAAACCATTGCGCCTCATCCATTCCCGGTTTCCAATCAGCACAGAGAAGGTCTGGGGGCCTGTACCTATTCAAAAGAAACTGGTTACTCCTGGACAGTCCAGCTTCACAATGAACTAAAACCCAGGGACATTTGACTATTCTGAAAACTATAACCTCTTGTGACACTCCTCTTGGAGGACCAGAAAGATAGATACACACACAGTATAAAGAACACCAATGCAGTTCTACATGTGTGGAAATGCTGTTGGCATATTAAACATCATGTAAAGTCCTTACATGCCATTAGAGGTACTTATTTAATTAATTAATGTGAGTGAGTCTTTTGCCAGAATATATGTATGTATATCAGCCTGATGCTCATGGAGGCAAGAGGGTATCAGATCCCCCCTGGAACTGGAGTTACATACAGGTGTTTGTGAGCCCCCATGTGAGTACTGGGAAGAGAACCTGGGTTGGTCGTCTGCAAGAGAAACAAGTATTCTTAACAGCCGAGCCATCTTTCTGGCCCCCAATTCTTTTTTTTATAGGGGTCAGAGGCAGGCATTTTAGGTCAAACCAAAGAATGTGTTGACTAGATTATTTTCTGGCAGGATTAGATGACCCAAAGTGAATCAACATAATCAGGTAAGAAGTTTGTTTCTATAATACATATACATACTATTTTTTGAGATAGTCTTATATTGATGAGGGGATATGAATATATATATATATATATGTATATATATATATATATATGCATCTATATATGCATCTAACAAAACCAAATTACTGCTCTATGTCATAACAACCTAACAGAAATGCTTGCCTAGAAACCATGATGGTATAGACTGAAGCAGAATGAGTTTAAGTCTCACCTAGAGCCTCTTGATTTCTTCCTGCTTGATAAGGGCCCCTTCCCTCATCTTTGAAAGACCAACATTTACAAAGACCACCTAAAGAAGTGACCCTCGAAGCTCTCTGCACAAAAGCCACACTATAGGTCCTATGTGCTAAGAAAGGAATCCTTTTTGTTGCTGCTTGCAAATGTCTGCATACATTTATCACTGTCTGCAAAACACCTATCTGCAGAGATGTTTATTCCTGCAACTTCTGTTTCTATAAAGATGCCTGCGACAGAAATCCCTTTTGATGGGCATGGAGCTCAAAGATCACCCATTAATTTCCTGACTTATCAAGACGGTAACAAAGTGTGTGTGAGCCACCATGTGGTTGCTGGGAATTGAACTCAGGACCTCTGGAGAAGCAGCCAGTACTTTTAACCGCTGAGCCATCTTTCCAGCCCCGAAAGTGGTGGCTGGTGGTACAAACCTTTAATCCCAGCAATTGGAGCCGGGCATTGGTGACGCACGCCTTTAATCCCAGCACTCAGGAGGCAGAGGTAAGCGGACCTCTGTGAGTTCAAGACCAGCCTGGTCTACAAGAGCTAGTTCCAGGACAGCCTCCAAAGCCACAGAGAAACCCTATCTCGAAAAAAAAAAAAAAAAAAAAAATCCCAGCAATTGGGTGGCAGAGGCAAGTGGATCTCTGAGTTCGAGGCCAACCTGGTCTACAAAGCAAGTTCCAGGACAGCCAGAGCTATTACACAGAGAAGCCCTGTCTCAAAAAAGAAAAAGAAAGTGTATGGACACACACCACACATATGTACAAGTAGTGCTGGGCCTTTCCAAAGCATTACCTTGGGTTTCTGGCCACAAATAGTTTCTTTGATCTCTTTAAGTGCATGCTTGATCCTTGCTGGCTGAGATCTTCCATAACAATGTAGTCCAGGTTGGTCTTATGCTCCTGGTACTCTTGCCCCCATCTCCCACGTCCCATGACTGAAGACATGTAGCACACCCAGCCTCTATGATAAGCTCTAGAACCATGGCTCCAGAAAGTGCATGTGACTTTTTAATCTGCCACCTTTTAATAGTACATAGCCCTGATGAGACACTACCCAGCTTCTGGACTCTCTAATGGAAAAGTCACCTTAGGGACTGGAACTATTAAAAGGCGGCACATGACATCTAATAACATTGCCTAAATATTTATCGTGTGGGGCATTCTAGCACTCTCTAGAGTGCTAGGCATTCTAGCACTCAGTTTAATGTAATGGCTGTAAAATGTCCTCAGGGAAAAAAGAAAAAGGCAGGCTAGGGAGGTGGCTCAGTGGTTAAGAGAGCTTGCTACACAAGCTTGAGAACCTGGGTTCTGATCCCCAGCACTTACACTAAAGCCTAGCTACGTGAGCAAGCCTGTAAACCCAGCTGTAGGGGAGGGAGCAGAGACAGGGAGAACAATGGCTTGCCAGTCTAGCCTGCAACAGTGAGCCCCACTGGCCTGTCAGCCTCATCCACAACAGGAAGCTCCAGGTTCAGCAAGAGCCTCTTCAAGGATAAAAGTGAAGAGTAATACCTAACATCCTCTCTGGCATCTGTAAGCACATGCATAAGCATGCCCCCCAAACTACCACACATATATGTGCATACATACATACACAATATGCACACAGGAACAAAAGAAGGAAGTTAGGAAGACAGACAGGCAGACAGGCAAGGTAGGATACAGGCAGTGCTTCATGCTTGCAACCCCCACACTCACAAGGTGAGGCAGGAAAATCCCAGAAGACCAGCCTGGGCTACGAAATGATAGTTTGTCTTTAAAAAAAAAAAAAGTAAAATGCAAGCAGCACCTGTGGCTGAGCAGTATCTTTTCTTGGTGTGAGCATACAGATCATTTCCCACTTCCCTGGTTTTCCATCAGCTCTGAAAACACCCCACACCACAGCAGAGATCACCCAGATGGGAAAGCGACAGGAAGAACCAGACACTGCCACCTGCCACATGGTAGCTATGAATCTAAGTCCTATGCTACTTTGGCCTTCCATAAGCATCAGAATCTGGAGGCATCCGGCCAGGGACAGTAGTGCACACCTATAGTCCCAGCTACCTGAAAGGCTGAGGTGGGAGGGTCGCTCGAGTGCACAAGCTGGAAACTAACATAGAAAAACCCACTGCAAAAACAAAAAGCAAAGCAAAACACAAAAGTTTTAGATATATCAAAGCATGCAAGAGAAAAAGCAGGCATTGCTGGGGTAGGCAAGGCATGGAGTGCCCAGCAATGCCCTGAGCAATGCCCTCTCTACAGGAGGGGAAGTCACAGGTGGGTCTGATAAGGGTTTGGCTTGCCTCTGCTGTCATCCAAGATGGGTTCAACCACCATCAGATCCAGGAGGGACAGAAGTGAGGAATACCTTTTCCTGTGAGAGAGTTGCCAACCCCGTTCAGGTGACCAGTTGTATCACTGTGAACCAAGATGCTTTCCACATTGCTAACTTTACAGCTAATTCCACAGCCTGGCACAGCCTGGAAGTCTGTGCAGTATCCAAGGGTCTCTGTTCCAAGTTCCTGTAGAAGAAGCAGGAGAGCAGGACAGAGACTGGGGTGAGGGCAGTGAGAAGAAAGAGGGAGGGAAGGAGGAAGGAAGGAGAAGTGAGGAAATGCACTAGGAGATCAGGAAACGTTCTCTCATCAGACTCAGTGTGGGTTCTCAGTCTGAACCAAATCCTCCAAGGAAAACGTCAATGGACCTCAGACCACACAGATGTTTCCATGCTGATAGTGATTACACTACAACAATGGCGAGTGACAAAGCCACTTGGAAGCTGCCAAACAGATCACTCCCCATGTGTGATACCCAGGGAAGGAATGAGAAGTGGCAGATGTCATCAGAACAACCAGCAAGTGGAAGTCTTCCTCCTGGCCCATTAGGGTAGATGTCAAACAGCAGTATGCTGATCCCCTCTGAGGGACAAGCACAGAATGAAATTTCTCAAATATTCTCCTTGTCTATATTTTCCTGAGGTACCCACATCACCCCATATATTGAAGATAAAATTTTGCTCAAGCCACTTATACAGTGTCAGCATAGTCCCCCGATGCACTCCACTGTCTTAGGGCAGAAGAAGGTGCTTCTCTAAACCCCCCAAATTCAGACTTTTCAACTCACCTGTGCTAGCTCCTCCCAGGTAATCCCATTGAATGCCTGTGTCCCCTCACCCTCGCTGTATAAAGAAGTTATTGAAGGACCCATCTCCCCTGCCTCAGACTTGGGTTCTCAGAAGGCAGAAGGGTCACGTCTCAGTCACTCTGTCCTGAGTCCAGGGTTATCCACTTGTTCCACAAATAACCATAATAGAGCCACTACAAAGCCCTGTCTGCAACAAGTGAAGACCTCCTCTGAGGCAGCTGAGCAGGCAAGTGGGTGGCAAGGTAGGGAGGACAAGGCTGAAGAGAGAGGGAAGGCAAGGCAATGCCAAGGCCAAGGTCTGCGTACCTCTTTGCAGTATTTAGTGACTGCCACGCCTAAGGGGTGCTCGCTGCTGGCCTCTGCAGTGCCCACCACAGCCAGAACCTTCCTGAGAGACAGTGTAACCATGTCCACAAGCAACAGGAACCGCATGACTCTGGGGACCCCGTGGGTAATGGTGCCAGTTTTGTCAAACATAACAGTCTTTATCTGCAAGAACAACTTCATGTCAGTACTTAACACCGAGGCAGCTTTCACAGTTTTAGCCAGGTCTTAAGGCAGAGCTTCTCCCAACCTGCCTTGGGCAGGGAACTACTGTTACCTTCACAACTCTGCAGGCAATAACTGCTGCTACCAAGAAACCATTAGCCATCTGCCAGTCTGTACAGCTTCATTGGACCTTACCTTTGACTAAATAGAGGGCAGTAGGTAGCTCTGTCCAGACCATGATCCAAGAGCAGCAGATACACTGTTTGGATTCCCAAGCTCAGTGGTGGCCTCTGCCTTCAACACTGTTAATTGACCTTCTCCCTCCAAAGATCCCCACCTCCCTAGTCCACCCTTACTGTGTATCCAGTCCGCCTTTCCCAGCATGCAACCTAGTGGCTCAAATGAGCAGCCTACTCTACCATGTGATCCTTCAAGGCTTTCATGACTCGGTCCCCTCAACACTTTCTCTGTCTCTGAGATTTTCTCCTAGCTGTTCATTAGACATCAAAAAGATGTCTCCAGGTGCTCTCAGGCTGAATGCTAGGGTCAGAATAGCAAAGGAAACTGCAGCAAATTTCATGGATCTTGTGAGCCACACAGATGCCTGATCCCCTAGGGTCCTCTTTACCTACCTACTATTTCACCTCTGAGACACCCCACTACCACTTTATCTGGCTAGCTCTTACTCAGCTTCCCAGACCACCAGCACTACCTAGGAACTCCTGCATAAGCCAGGTCCCAGCACAGTGTCCTTAAGGAGTTGTGGTCCTAACACTCATTATTGGGGATACACTGTAGCTCTCCAACCCCAAAATCACGCAACTCAGCAACTTTGCTAACAGCCGCAGGCTTTTGAGGTTACCCAACCTCCTCCTGGTGTAGTCAAGATCTTACGACTCACAGCCACCACTGGAGATGGGGTCAGTGACTGTCCATGAAGCAGCGAATTGTGTAACCATTAACTGCTGGTGATTTTGCTGCTACTCCCAGGAAGTCATATCTTCCTACCCCAGCCATCAACACTTATCCTTGGGCTTTCCTCTTTTTTTTTTTTTTTTTTTTTTTTTTTTTTTTTTTTGA